AAGGGCATGTGCGTAATGCAACTTTGCAAAAATAATTTGATCTCTAATACCGATCAGGTGCTGACACATAGTCATACAATTCTATACTTAAAGGCTTAGTAATCAATGTAGTAAACATAATAATCTTTTATTACCTCTTTTAAATCCTATTCTTTATCATAAGTTAGTCGCCATAAGGATACAATCTATTTCTATGACAAAGCATTAACTATCAATACAACCTCACAAGACCAATAGCGAAAGTGCTAAACATTATATAAAAGGTTTGTGGTGGCCTGAGATAGCTAAAAACTTTACCTCTGTATATATCAACAATAATGTCTTCATTTTATTCTATTCCAGATTTAAAGTCCAATTAACCAGAATATTTTAAATTTTAGATTTCTAAAAAATTAAGCAAGTGAGAGATTTGTAATAATAAAACCCATATAGAACTATGACCTCGAACCAAAAGAAAAATTGTTGTCAAACAGTATAACTAATAATGGATAAATGTGGCATCACTATACAATCATAACATCTTCACTTCAATTTTATGCAAACTCAATTAATTCTTAATAAGCCAGTTTAGTTTTGGGGAAGGACAAAAATTAACTGTTATTTATCTTTTGTCCATTTTCATTTTGAAAATAATTGATTAAAATCTGTGACCTACCATCAACTGAACAACCAGTGTTGGGGTATTTTAAAAATTACGGGATTGGGGTATCAATAAAAAAGTACATTAATGAGCACAATAAGCAACTTTATTTGAAAATACAATGGCAATGAAACAAAAAATTATAAGCAATTAATTAGAGGTTTCTATATGTCATATCTATAACTTGTATTTCTCGATTATTTAATTCACTAGAGAGAGATCAGTTCTTTTAAAATTTGTGGGAATGGTTGGGGCAGTTTGACAGAATCTTAAACTTATCATCATCAAAAGGATTTCATAATTGGTTACAATGTTTTAGTATCGTTTGTTTAAGGCTTACAAAAATACAGGGTGATCTTTTTTAAAGTGACACTGTTTGGAGCACCCTGTAGCCCGATCCAATTGCCGAAATGGCACCAAACTTGGTATTTAGACTAATCAAGACATAATCGTACAGTTAAATTATTAATGTTTATTTACTGCATTAACTTTCCCGATGGCACCAAACTTGGTATTTAGACTAATCAAGACATAATCGTACAGTTAAATTATTAATGTTTATTTACTGCATTAACTTTCCCGGTGAGGAATTAGACCACATTCAATGTAAGCACTGTTCTCAGAAATAACACCGTGCAATCTGTACACAACGTTCTCCACAGCCGTATGTAACATATCACGAGGAATATTCCGCACTTTTTTATGTTGTCCTTTAGAATAAACAAATCTGATACTCCACCAACATAAACTTGATATTTCAAATAACCCCAGAGCCAAAAATCGCATGGCGTGAGGTCAGGGAAACGAAGCGGCCATGCAACTAGAAAACTGCATTTTATGACTCTATCAACAGTGAAGTTTTGGCGCAACAGCTGCTTAACCTTATTATTAATGTGTGGCAGAGCACGATCCTGCATAAAAATTGTCTATTGGAGACGGTTTCTTTGCTGAAGTTGTGGAATAAGAAACGTTTGCAGCATTTCGTGGTACCCTTCTGCATTTATGGTGCACGTTTGGGGTCCTGTCGGAGTAATGGTCTCAAAAAAGAATGGCCCAATTACGAATTTGGAATTCGGTTATGAAACCACACCAAACAGTGACTTTTGGGGAATTTAATGGGATTTCGTGCATGGCGTGGGGCTGCTCAGAAGCTCAAATTCGGCTATTTTGTGTGTTTACGGACCCATCGAGATAAAAATGGCACTCATCTCCCCACAGAATGTGCCATAAGAAAGCATCATCAATTTCTACCCTGGCAAAAAACGATAGAGCGAATGTCACTCGCTTATCATAATCACTTGGTTTTAGTTCGTGCAAGCGGCTGGTTTTGTAGGGGTAAAATCCAATAACGCGCCGCAAAACTATCCATACCGTGGAATAATTCATGTCCAATTGTCGAGCCCTGGACGCTGCTAGTACCAGCAATGGTTCCCTGCGATCCTTCGACAATTGCAGTTGCCACATCAGTTATTACATCTTCTGATACTGGTTTACGTCTTCTCCCAGCGCAAATGGTCAGTAACCCCATTTCCTCGAACTTCTTAATAATTTTCTTGAGAAAAGGCCCCTTTCATAATTTTTTCCTGGTTCGAAATTTCCGAAGAGCTGCGGATGCATTTACATTGATTCATGTCATACAGCTTCACCAGTAATGCAGGTTCCGATAGCATAAGAGGCATGTCCACTGGAGCTCATTTACTTCAGCTGAGATTATTTGTCGGAGCTGTCTACTACTTGCTTTTATAGCACCTATTACTGGTGCTGTCATTGCACAACATTTGCATTTTTCTATGGTACCCGTGTTTTATGCTAATTCTCGTTATTGTATGCTACAGCAGCGCCGCAAAATGCCCTAGCTGCGATTTTTTTAACTATTCCCCCCCCCACGGAATCCTTTTCCCCATGTCTTGATTAGTCTAAATACCAAGTTTGGTTCCATTTCAGCTATTAGATCGCACTACAGGGCATTCCAAACACTGTCACTTTAAAAAAGATCACCCTGTACTTTTGGTTTTTTATGTCTAAAATCCATTTTTTTTCAAAATCTCACATAACATCAAATGTAGCTTTTTGATATTTAAGCTCTTAAAATTAGCTGACTTTTTTTCCATAATTTTAGGCTTGGAATTTTTTCTTCCATTCATTTTGCTTTTCTACTATAAAATGTATTTTTTTATGCTTTAACTATTCAGAATTTTTATTTATCAAGCATTTGACATATCTTCAGCTTTCCACAGCTTTTACTATACAATTTTGAAAAGATGTTAAAATGCATAACTACGTCTCATAATTGTAATCTGGACGTGATAACAGACTGATTAAACTCTAAATTCCAATTCAGGTTCTCAACTTTTTTTTTTTAATTATATTTCAATTTGAACTCAAAGTTAAAAAAAAGAAAAAAAAAAAAAAAGGTTTAAGAGAAAAAATGCTAATTTTACTGGTTTATCAGTTTTAAATAATTTTTATTTCCTTCATCCAGCTCTTAGGTACAATATCCCTTAAGCAAACTCTAAAAGTGACATATGAAACATAACAGAGATTGCTAATAGATCCAAATTGTTTATTATACATAAATGGTTGCCATGGTGGTAAAAATGTATGGATTGGACATCATGTCCCAAACCTAAGGTGAAACAAGTCAACTTTTACTCCACTTCTTTTATCATCTCTCATTATAATGGGATGCTATAGGTATCCACGATATGCTATGGGTGCCCATGATACTCTCTAAAATTTTTTTTTTTTAATTTAAAATGATAAGATGATTTTTGGTCAGCTATTGGTCACTCAGAAGGAGCTGATATATCAAAAAATAAGTTTTATTTTTGATAAACATTCTGAATCTCTTGAGTTTTCTGTTTCATAATACTTCCTCAGAATTGTAGTATGCTATTCTATGCACATCACATAGAAGAAACCAAAAGAAGTTATTTTCAGTGTATGACCTTCATAGTGATCTATCTTCCCCTAAAATTCTAGGATGTACCTAAAAAAAGTTTTACTTATTGATTATATAAACCTATTTTGTACTTTTTGCTTAGTATATTTCATAATGTTTATCAAGTTTTTGATAACATGGATTTGCATTTAGATATAAGTTAAATATTTAAATGCAGTTAGAATAAAAGACGAAAAATTTAAACTGTAATTTTTAGAGTTTCTGATGAAATTCATATTTGCTTTTTTAAATCAGTCCTGCTCACATATAATGGAATAACTTTTAATGTCCTTTATTATTATTATCATTATTCTTATTAAGCACAGAAAATAATTTTAGAAGTTTTATTATTTTATCCAGATGCCAATCTATTTTCTTCAGCTTTTGTTTCTGGTTATTTAGCTGGTGGATTTTCAAAAAAAATGTAATACATTATCATCACTTTTTTTATTAAAGTGTCGCATGCAATTTCAAATTTATTGCTCTAACTTAACTATCTATCCACATTTACTCTGAGAGCCATGATCAGGTTTATCCAGTCATGAGATGTTTTGTCACTTCTTATAAATTAGCTTATAATTTAAGATATTTTGTTTTCTTACTTTATGTTTTCTTAATAATATAAGTGCCATCTTGATGAATGTAAGTTTAGAGAAATACAGTCTAAAATAGGTAAATACACATATTTAGCTAATAAAGGCTCTTTAAATACAGGTCTTCATGACAAATCCAAAACCTCTGGCCACTCAGAGGGTTAACTAGCACAGAAGAAATAATTGCTTTGAAAATAACATCCCCATGACTATCATTACTGCTGAAAAGCTTTATAATTATAAACTATGAAGCCTTTCAACATATTATAGTTAGTAACATAGTTATTAATACTTTATGCTTATTGTAAACTGCTTCTGAAATCAAACAAGTTTAAAAAGCATTTTAATAGTGTGAGAAAATGCTTTTAATATAATTACAAAATGGTGTTTTATTAACATGTTTAAAACACTGAAAAAAACCATAGAGTTACATTTAATTAGCAACCTGAATGGGCTGATAAAAACAAGTAAGAAAGCTCATCAGTAAAACGACTTAACTGTCCTACAACTAGGCTTGCTGATAGAGACTTCATTACTTCCACCACTGTGGCACAAACATGTATCATAACATTTTTTTCAAAAAAGTTTATCACGACATGATCTGAAATAAAATGCAGTAAATATTCTGTTTGTATTGACCCTGTTGAAACACTAATTTCACCCTGTTGAAAACACTAATTTGTAATCTCATTATGGCTATTTTGAATAATAAAGATTTTCTAATTAGCATTAAACTGTAACAAGGTAACTGTCAATTAAGGTTTCACAACAAATTCATAAAATTTCAACACATAAAACAACAGAGGAAACAACTTATAATATTCACCTGATTTAAAAACTTTTTTTCAGTAAAATATCTCTCTGAGCCAGAAGAATACAGACAACCAGACACTGGACAATGAAGTGGAGCTTTCATCTTTTTTCCATTTTTACACTAAAAGTAATTGCAAATGCTTATATCATTTTTAAATAATATATAAAACAGACAACAGGAAGTTAAATTTCAGTACAACTGATTTTTCAATTGAGAGTTCAATTTAGTTTAATTGCTAACATTTTTTACATAAAATTTGAATAAAAATGCAG